GGCGCGCTCACCTGTGAGGATGCCGTTCTTCTCGTGAGGCTCCCTCCAGCTGACCTTCAGGGAGGTGTCCAGGATCTCGGTGAAGCTCAGGTGGCCCACAGGACCAGGAGCTGCAGTAGAGGAGTCCACAGGATTAACGGGGCTGACAGAGGAGGCGGTCGGGGTGTGACGGCGTACGGTCCCGAATGTGTGGGCGACACTCACTGTCCTCGTGTGTGCGCAGCCCCTTCGGCGGACTGCGGGGTCCATCCCCCGGCGTGGTGAAGCAGAGCGCAGACGTGAAGTACTCTGTGAATTTCTTGAGTCCCATGATATAGCCCACGTGTACACTGTCCTGGAAGTTGGGCCGTACTGTCACCATGGTAACTTCCTCCTCTTGGCCTGGTTCCCATGCCAACAGCTAACAAATGAGGAAGAAAAAACAAAGCGGGAAGCATCCAGTACCATCAAACAACCAAAAAGTTCTCAGACATTGCTTGAACCCAGGGAGTCTGGGGGGGGGGGGGCAAGCATCAGCAGCCAGGAGAGGTGGCCTGAGAAGATCAAGGAGCCCAGTATCACAGACGATACCAGCTAGAGGGGGGAGCAGGGGAGCCAGTGGACCAAATGGCCAATTTGGGTAATGACTCTCCTTGGCAGCTCTGCTGTGGTGGTACGTTTCTGTCAGGGAGGGGGCCGTGCATTGGCATGCAGGGGGGTGGGGTGGGGGTGGGGCACTGCCTTTGTTCTTCCATTGGCACTCCCATGGGGAATTCCAAGAAACTCCAGCTATAACAGAACAAGAGGTACTAATGCTGGTGATTTGGACCAAGAAAGTTATTCTGTTAATGATGTCATAAATGAAACATAGAAAGTGGGAAAGTCTGTCACATATCCATAATCATTGCGTACCATGTTATAAACCCTGAGATGTTAAACACCGCGATGAAGTCCATATGTTATGATATTGGACACCAAAGACTCAAAGCACAGTGAGATCAAACATAAGTGTTTTCCTGTCTAAACGTAAAGTGGCCTCTGTTCTTTAGCAAAATAGTAGTTTGATCTGGATCTGGTGGAAATCTCTGGTGGACGGGCATTTGCTGTGATATCAGTCGGATTCCTCTGCTTGTTCTGATGCTCCATGCCTGACCTATAAGCTACATTCTGTATCTGTGCTTATTGTGCTTATGATGAGAACAAGAAAATCCTCTGGGATTCTGGTGAGCATAAGTCAACAAAGACAGTTCTTTGCTCTAATTAATGGAGGAATCTAAATTGAGCCAAGTCAATGTGCTTCTCAATTCCCCCTTCTGCATATAGAGGGCAATGTTGTAACAGGTAGCTGCTGAACCTCATCTTGTAGCCAAGTCAACAAGGGCAGCACTTCAGCTAATTAACTAAAGAATCTAAATTGCAAACCAGGTTGCTTTCAGTCTCAGTTCCCCCTTCTGCCCATAGAGGGCAGTGCTGCAACAGATAGGTGCTGATGCTCACCTTGTAGCCCTGGTTAATGCCATTGATGAACTGGGGGCTGGGGGCGGACCAGGTGAAGCGGATGGTGGTGGAGTTGACAGCCTCTGCTTGCACGTTGCCGGGGGCGATGGTAGGCACTGTTGGACAGGGGACGGAGGAAGATTAAAATCCCTGCAGGTTCAATCTGGATGGCTCACCCCCTCCTCCCCCCCGGGAACTGGAACTCATGGAAGGGGCCTGTGGAAGAGCACTGCCCTGATAGCACCATCGATCACTGCTACACTCTGGGTCAGGACACATGACAGCGATATTAGCCGATATTGGCTCTTCCCTCTTGGGGATGACCTCAAATCCCCACATACTCGTCAGGTACATGGCACCCCACTGCCTGCAGCGGCCCCCCTGAGCTTCACTGTCTCATCAAGGAACATCAGAGGGACAAACAACAAAGTTTATGTTATAGAGTTTATGGGGAGTAATACATCACTGGGTTTGAGAGATATATTACATGCTGGGTATGTGGAAGGTAGTACTTCACAGAGTATGCAAGGTGTAATACATTGTGATGTCAGAGGTAGTACTTCACAGAGTACGCAAGGTGTAATACATTGTGATGTCAGAGGTAGTACTTCACAGAGTA